CCGCGCGGAGATGGCGATCGATCCGGGGCAAGTGGGCCGATGTAAATGGAGTGCTATGCTAGGAAGGACCGTAGGAGTGCGACACGTAAGATGTCGCTTTTTCTAGTCAACTTGGTCAGCATGTGAATTAGAGGCGATGACGGTTGTTAATGTATTCCCGTGTCCGTCCTCTTCTCCTCTGCCCAACTTCCTGCAGGTCCAAAACGACTTGAATGACGCCGGCCACAGCAGCGCATTCATGGCCCCGAAAGTTGAGATATCCACATGCCTAGGAATTTTTGTGGCGGAGATCGATGGATTTTCGTCGCGGATGGGATCAGTCAGCCAGCCAGCCAGGCACGCTCCTCCATGTGCTCGTCACTAAATCCGCTGGGGTCATTGTAGATACACAGGCCTTGTACTCGTACAGGCGCCGTGCCTGGACGTTCCGAAGCCTAGCTACGAATCTACGATCTAATTTCCACATCCACCGTGCTTTAGACCATCCTGCAACCAAAGCAACGATCGTCGTCCGTGATCTCCTCGTCCATAGTCCATACACGAGGGGGAAAGTGGAGGAAAACGTGAGCGCGCGAAGCCGTAGGTCCTCAACCGGCGCATGGAAAAACGTTACCCTTGACGGCAAACGTACGGTATACTGGGTAGTCTCCTGCACGTCGTCGTCGTCCTTCCCTCCGGACGCCGACCTGGGCACTGCACGACGAGCCCGTCACTCGAGCGCCGGTTTTAGTCTTGTCCCACCCACAAACTTTCGGTCGCAGCTTCACCGTGCCGTGCGTGACGCAGCCAGAGCGAACAAATAAAGCCATCACACACATTCGCCGGCACGAAGCATGCATGCTGACTTCGCTTACCACGTGTGAATGACCTGGACTCCGCTGGTGTGGCGCCCTTATTACTGACTGACGTCTCCGGTCCGGTGGTAAATAAAACAGAGAAAAATCGAACGTTAGACCGGATTCTTTTCAACACATACAGAGAGAGCGGCCAAGCCCTTGGTCAATGTGTGCTCGGACTTGGAAACCAAGGACTGTTCTAGTTGGGCAAAGCACGTGAGACGTGACTAAGATAATTGGAATGTTAAACAGCGGATTCTGCGAATTATAGTAGTGAACTAGGACTTCCGTCACCTGACTGGCTGACTACACACGTCCACGCACACTCACACGGAGCCGGAATGGCACGTCGATGCGTCACGCACTCAGACCTCTGCAGCGTTGAGCTCCTCTGCTTTTTTTACATAGTTAAATGTCCGTGCGTTGCAACGGGTACACATAGTATCACGATAACATATGTATAAGCACATGTTATACTGTATCTAAAATAGATACTACAATCGCGATGTTTTATAAGTTGCAATACACGAGCATTCACCTTAATCATAACAAGTTTGTGTTTTACCATGCATGTTTTACAATATATTGTACAATTAAGAATCTAATCTCTCAATGTTTCGACCAAGAGAACATACTTTGCACGAACACTAAGCTGGAGCTGGTCACCAATCAAAGATAATCCAGAAGATTTTAAGTCCAAGATGTGGCATCTAACTTCTTGTAGCTGAAGCATGTAGATAGTTGAAGCTGCAGTTAGAAGTATCATGCACATAAGTTGTTTGTTAATTTTTAAAGTTAAAGTACTATTGATATATCTTGAAAAAATATGCATCGACGTGTAATGCATTACCTTTTTTATAGAGTTAGAACCTCTTTATATATAATATTCTTTGTGAATATATCCTTTGTCGGTCTCTTCTTCCCCTTCCCTTTTCCTTTTCCCTTGTTCACGTCCTTCTCAGCAGCCGGCACAGCCAAGATCCTAATGTTTGATCTCGCTGTGGCTCTTGATAGCGCCACATACAATTGGCTATGCGAGAACACTGGTTCCGGCAAGTATACCCCGATGTTAGGAATAGTCTGCCCCTGTGTCTGTTTAACAGTCATTGCAAAGCTGAGCCGAATAGGGAACTGCTTTCGCTTAAATTGGAGAGGGAACATCTAATCGTCCGACGGACATAAGGGTATTCGAGGCAGAAAACCCCGCTTTCCAGCGTGCTGTCCCAACACAATTTCTGCGTCTATGGTATTCTTTTGCAATCCCCGTATGATAAGCCTGGTACCATTACAAAGTCCGTTCACAGGGTCAATGTTCCTAAGCAATATGACCAGACAACCAATCTTCAGCTTCAACACATGTGAAGATAGACCATTGGGTGTCAAAGTGTTAAGGAATTCCTCAAGGTAGTAGTTGTGCGGATCGTCCACCGCACAGTCAAAGCTATGGTACACCATCTCATCCCTGTGGAAACGACCTATCATCTTCATATTAATCATATCAACTCATTCGTTCCGCATAGATAATATCGCTCGAGAGGTGATATAATCTTTACTTGACATATTTGCATTGAGGTTAGGGAATATGCAATCAATTAGAGTATCAAGGTCACTATCTTTCCCGGTGTGCGGAACACATATATCATGAGGAAGACGGATTTTATCATCAACACTCGCCTCCTCAGAACCTCCACCGACGCGCAACAAGTATTCTACAAATCATGGGTCACTTTTTGCCCTCATGTTGCGCACCAGTTTTAGATGCCGCATGGAATCCCAAAGGTACGACATCCGCAGCGAGGCACCAACTACCTGAGCCCTTGACCCTCTCCGAACAATGGGAAGAACATGTCTGAAATATCCACCGAACACCACGGTCTTCCCCCAAACGGCAACTCTGGTCGGTCCATGATATCACGAAGGCTGTTGTCTAGTGCTTCAACACCTTGCCTCTTTATCATTGTCACCTCGTCCCAAATAATAAGGGATGTGGCCCGAAGCAGCTTGACAGTACCACTCTGTTTCGTGAATGTGCAAAAGGCCCCATTATCGATAATTGAGTGTTATAACATAGGTTTCCATGAGTATCAATCAAAATAAAAATAAAACATGAATTGTTAAATAGGAGTAGGCTGAGAAGCAATGTTTTGCTTACATTCATTCATTTGCTTACAAAATCAAAATTTCCAGTGCTACTATTTGTTCATGCCTTCCTATGTTTGTTCACCCCAACAACATTTGCAGATACATGAAGTCTAGAAATCTAAGTGTTTTGTAGCCTCACATATTTCACATTACACAACCAGGACACTGGCAGTCAATAAAGTTCAGGAGTGGGGCTCTGAAAAAATGTTATCTAAACACACGTTGAAATTATAGAAATCTATTGCGCAGAGTACACTGATGTAGCAAATGGCAAAGACAAGCGCTTCTAGATGCCTAATTCCATCCCGGCCACAGTAGATGACACAAGATGATGTATTAGACTGTGAGCAACATTTCTTTGTGCAATTGAGGCACTTCATCATGTTAGATTGGTAAGTGGGTTCCCACTCCTGAATGCAGCTAAATTGGTCTGATCCTACAAGAAATGGTGGTGTTTGGTTATTTTGTATGTAATAAATAAGTAGTACTTACGTCCTCAGCTAATTGATGCAAACAGTATAGACAGTGTGGTTGATGCTCTGCACTTTATGGTATAATTGTTTTCCAAACACTTCTGTTGTGTGTCCTTTTACAGGGTTAAAATTTACCAATTACAATTCATTTCTCTCCACTAAGACTCAACAGGTTTTGAGAGGCCCATGATTATTACAATCTATACTCATGGGAGATAGGCTTTGGGATCTGGTACTAATTAAATCAAATATACAAGAAGGATGGTTCTTTTCTAATCTGAAATTTGCATGAAGCTGTCCTGCATTTTAATCATTCTGTTACTTCCTTTATATAGTTTACCCAGCAAATACATATTATAAAGTTTCACTTCTTCTCAGCCATATCTTCATGAGTCTCGGCATTGTTATGCCATGAAGTGGGCTCATGAATCTGGAGGGTGGTTCCCCGACACAAAGTCTCTCCAGGATCCAGGAGAAGAACCAGCAGCATCAGGCGTCTGAGTGGTTCAATCTGCTCAAAGGTCATTGGCATGAGCATAATCGCCCAAAGCTGCCCTACCTGCAGGCCCTTTTCTGATGCCACAGGGGCTTCAATGGCCAATCAGGACTGCAGCTCATCCTCATGGCTCTAGCATGAGGTGAAGAGAAGTGGGCACAACACCAGCCTCATCTGGCAACTCATCCTTGGCTTTTGGAACTATTGATTGATATGTAATGGACATGTAGCTTCAGGTCTCAGAATAACCAAACGTGCATAGATATGCAATGCAAGTCCTTTTAAACTTGTTGTAGCTGAAAGAAAAGTGGTTATGAGTATGAGAAACTTGGTCTTGTTACCTTTTGTGTCTGATAGGCTGTCCCTGGTTTGCAATACCTGATTATGCTTTGTTTCTGCCTGTGTTTTTTTTTATCAGGATTTGCATTAAATGTGAGAAATTTCCACTGCCTGAAATAACACAAACTGTACTTAGCGAGTACATAAAACTAATCTATGTGGAGAAAAAGAACATATATATTGTCAAGGAAATTTTAGAACAGTTTTAGCTGGGGATACGGACCGCTCCCCAGCTACTCATATCTGGTTCTTGCCATGTGTCATGAGCATGGCAGTGTACAAATTGAAAATCTTTGTGCATTTCAATTTTGGGAGCGTGTTTTTAAGGTATATCCTAATGTTTATATAATCCCTGTGCATACATTGGACATCTGATAGTTGCTTTGTTTGGCAACATTGGTAATTTTAAGTCTTATAAACCATGACATGTCAACATGTATTAGAACAACGAACACTGAAGAACCAGAAGAATCACATACCTTCTTCGTTAAACCTGAAGAGGAGTTCACAAACCAGTCCCTGCAGCATTTAGGAACATCTCTGAAATTTGTTTGTCCTTTGCCTATACTCTGGTGATTTATTAGAGTAGGTAATGAACTGCAGCGGAGCGAAGGGCGGGGAGCCGCCATTGCCCTTTTCGACGGGGAAGCTGTAAACGATGGGTCTGCCAGGGATCTGGCAGGGTGGTCGCCATGGCCGGCGAGGTCACGTCCGATGCTGGATCTTGAAGGGCCTAGTGAAGGAGGCTGGGGAGGCAACCGACAGCGCGGGCGCGAAACGGCGAGGTCGACGGGCATGTGCGACGAGGGCCTTCTCGGTGGTCCGTCGGCCGCGGATCGGCGGGGCGAGGCCGACGGCACGGGCGCGAACACCGATGGTGCGGGCGCGAACACCTTCTCGGCGGTGGAACAGGCTTGGGCGGCGGCGCGGCAGGGACGGAGAGGAGGCGGCGGCGTGGCTGAGCCCGGGGCGAAGAGTACTGTCGACCGAAACAATGGATCAGAAATCCAATGCAACGCGACTTACCGGCGTGGCTCCTCGCGGATCTGCAACGGGTGCTCGGCGGTGTCGGACAGGGGCGGGGCGAGGTGCTGGTGCAGGCGCGAGGGTGTGGCGGCGTGGGTTGCGGTGACTGCGCGTCGTGGGAGAGCGCAGATGTGGGCAGGCGAGGGTGCGGTGATTCCTTTCCTTCCGGGGCTGCGGTGATTGCGCGTCGCGCGGGGCCGGTGCTCTGCATGCGCGGGCGAGTGAAAGCGCGCCGGGCGAGCGCAGGTGCGTGCGATTTTTCGCACGCCGGGTCGACGATTCCCTTACAAATGTTTTGGTCGTAGATAGATAGATAGATAGATAGATAGAGGCTTGTTTAGATTAAAAAAAAATTCAATCTGATAAATAGTAGCACTTTCGTCTTATTTTATAAATATTGTCTAATCGTGGACCAATTAAGCTCAAAAGATTCATCTCGTGATTTCCAACTAAACTGTGCAATTAGTTATTTTTTTTACCTATATTTAATGCTTCATGCAAACGGCTAAAAATTAATGTGATGAAGAGAGAGTAAAAAAACTTGAAATTTTAAGGGTATCTAAACAAGGCCAGAGAATAGATAGAGAAGAGAAATGCTGAACTGCTCTGCTGTACTTTTGAAGCCTGCAACCTGTGAGGTGTTCATTCTGCACGACAATTTTGGCCTACGTATATCTCCACGGCATGGGCAGCCAAATTAAAAGGCCTGAATGTATTTAGCCTCATTGGGCCAGGCTACTCGCCACTTAAATTGGACCGAGCACGGAAACGGGCCAAGCCTAATCCGATAAGGAGATCCGGCCTCCGTTCTAAGGCCAGTCCAGGCCTTTCAATCGCACCAAATCCTGTTGGGCCCGACCACGTCTGATGAACTTTATTTTATTTTATTTTATTCGATGCATCCAAGGATGGCGATGACGGGATTTGCTAAGGTAATAGCGTCCGTTTAGGTAGATCTGAATGGCTACGATCACCTGTTACCTCCTCTAGTCGAGGAGATAATTAGAGGAATTTATATCTATATAGTATAATTTTATTTTTTGAAAAATAGAAAAAATAATAATAATTAGAAAATTGTTCCATCTATTTCAAAAAAAAAAAACTTAGCAAGGCCCCGTGATGACTCATGAGTCATGACTCGAGAGGAATCGAGCAGCGCACACGTTTATATAGAAGTCACAACTCACAACAAAGAAAACTTCGTATTTCCATTTGATCTCCAGCACAAAAAAAGTGCGTTCATCAGTCTTGTAGGAGTATGAAGCAAGGGCGCACAACACATTATTACATACAAAAGAGCTTTTTTTAATCTTTACACATTTCCTTTTGATCTATCTATGTAATATAGTATCAAACTCTCCTGCTACCTGCTGCAAGTGTATCCATCGTTTGTCAGCGTCTACTAGGTCAGCACAGCACGGGCCCGTCGAAATCCTCGCGAGAGGTGCGACGCACGCATCGCCTGACCCTCGTCGCCCGGCGGTCGTGGTATATCAATGTAGGTGGCATATCCGACCAGTCAAGCCCCGCTGATCGGCGGGCGCAGTCGGAGTAAGAGAATATGTTACATATCTGTAGGAGTGGAGTAGGCATCAATCACTTGAGCTCTTGCTTGCAGAGAGGGCAAGAGGAGATGATCCTGAGCCACCTGTCCACGCACTTGAGGTGGAACATGTGCGTGCACGGCAGCTGCCGAACCTCCTCCTTCTCCCTGTACTGCGCAAGGCAGATGCAGCACTCCTGCAGTCGCGGTTCAGTTCAGACTCGTAGTAAAACAATGCTCTGTTTCATGACTCGAAGCAGTTCAGTTCAGTTCACTGCAGGCGATCGCAGTTTGAACATGACAGCGATCATGGTAGTATCTGGCTATCTGCAAAGCTAGGATTAGTCTCCTTGCCTGCTCTGCTGTCGGTCACAACAATAGCATGAACCGACTAACCGAGGGGGGCTTCTTTGGTGGGTGCCATCCAAAAAAGCAAAGTTAGGACTTGTTATGTTTAGTATCATCCAAAAAGGGAGCACGTTCTAATTTCATACTCGCACGTTTCCACTTTCGCCATACCCTAATCCGGCCTGCCCCGCGCAGTTGAGTTCACCAAACATTAGTTTGGCGAATTTCTTCCTGGCCTCCCTTTTTCTACTTCGTTTTTTTTATTCATACCAATCAAAATTTCCAAATGCTGCTAGGCAGAGTTGCTGCAACTGTGATCATTTATGCAACAGCTAGCGTGCGATGGAGAGATGGATGTAATTTTACTCGCCTGATCATCGTGCTCTCGGTCCCTTGGCACGTCGGCGGGCTCCTTGAACCGCCACCGCGGCAGCGCGGCGAGCTGCTCGTCGGAGGCGCCCCGGCCGACGGAGGCCGAGTTCATGTTGTAGCCGAGCGCGTAGCCGACCATGGGCACGAAGCAGCAGAGCAGCAGGAAGAGGAGGAACGGGAGCGAGTAGACGACGGCGTTCCAGGCCAGCAGGCTGATGCAGAGCGCGTACAGCCTGGGCGCGCGCTGGAACGACCCCAGCCGCGCGTCGAACACCCACACGTTGCCCATCACGAACCACATCGCGAAGAAGAGCTCCAGGAACGCCCGCGCCTTGTTCATCAGACACGACCTGTCCCTGCATTAATTATATTCGCGAAATCGCGCGCGCGCGAGAATAATTAATGCCCATCAAAGAACTAAGAATTAACAGCGAATCAAATTTTGTACGAACTCCTACCTCAGAGCGTCATTGGCGCCGTGCATCTCGAGGTCGCCCGAGAGCGCGTCGCCTCCTCGGCCGCCGGCGGAGGAATGCCGGTGCCGCCAATAGAGGAGGGGCAGGCTGAGCACGTTGCCGACGTTGTAGGCCGCGACCCAAAGCCGGAGTGGCCACGCGGGGCGCTCCGCGGGGGAGGTGGCGACGACGGCGGTGGTCAGCACCATCTGCGCGACGATGACGCCGAGCTCGAGCGCGAGCCAGCCGGGCGAGTTGAACGGGTTGGAGCCCAGGTCGGACCTGGGCCCGTTCTGGTACTGGTACACCCGGCGCAGGAAGATGAACCAGCGGGCCCTCGACATCCGCGCCACCGCGCGCATCGTGAATGTGGACATCCGGCCGCCGCCGCCAGGCGCCGGCATCGCCGACGACGACGAAGACGAAGAAGAGGAGGAGGAAGGCGGCCGCATTGCTGCTGTGGTGCGACGACGCCGGAGGGGAGGGCGGTGGGCGGTGGGGGCATTGGCATTCCACGCTTGTTTTCTCCGGGAAGGATAAATGGTGGGAGGGAGGAGCGCGGGTTGGGTTCGAGATGGTGACCAATAATCTAACGGCTTTGCTTTGGCGCCAAGAGTAGGGGAGGGGAGGTGCGTGAAGGTGGAGGATACAAACGGTTGGCCTAACCGTCTCCTTCTTCTTCTCGCCATGCTTCCTTCCTCCTGGCTCTTTGCGCTCTCTCCAGTCTCAGGCTTGGCTTGTGTCTGGTTTTGTTTAGGTGGGAAGCAACAACGGCGGCGGCCCTGGTCATGGCGAGCAGATGGCTAGACTTTCTTTTCTTTTTCTTACACATTCAGATCACATCCGATCCCTCTGTTAATTAACGATATTTAGTTGTTGATTTTTTCCCTTCGACATTCAGATTACCAATCTTACTGGATCGACTGTCGGTTGCGAGAGAAAAAAAAAATACCAGTGTTTGAAGAAAATATTAAAATTGTGTGATTCTTAGTGAAATCGTGTCAGGCAATCAGAGTGACTCAAGGACGGTGGCAGGGGTCATCAGATGGTAAAGTCTCATCCTATTGTTCAATGGGACTGACAAGCGCACAAACGGCACTCATCTTATTGTTAAATTGAACTGACGAAGCACATCACCCACCACGGGAATTGATCATGGAGCTTTCAGTGGGGAACCAGAGCGCTTGTATATAGGTTGCACGTCTCTTTAGATGTGGTACGCAACTACCACACGGGCTCATTCTGGTCTGTCCTTTTGGTTGCGAAATCCTGTCTTTGACACGACGCTAGTTAATACTAGTTACTATGTAGCCTATCTGAAACTTTCAAGTTTCAATAGAGGAATTGTCAGGTTTCACGAGAATCTGGTCAAATATTTCCAGACTAAAGTGTTTTTTGTAGCACATGTACGTGTACGACCCCCCAGCTTGGTATATGGCCTGTAACATCTGTGGTAGCACACCTGCCCTGCGTACTTGTGCAGGCATTCCGTTTGGTGCTCTGCTAGTCTTTTACGCCAAGGCAAAAGGCCTCTATATATGTCTTGTAACAAACAACAGGTCAACAACATTTTTTGGGCCAGATATATGCCCGTGCAACGCACGGGAATCACTTTTTTTGCCCACGCTTATGGCAAAGTGCGTGGCTTACGGCTTAGACGAACATATTAAGAAATCTATAAATCCAATAATCTCTACACCTAGAAAGTACCAACAATTGTCATCTTAGAACTACACCCCAAATCGATCTTATCGCCTCGGAGTATGAAGTGGAAATGGTCCGAAAGAACTAAACAGGTGAAGAATTAGATCCTAGAAATAAAAACTCAAAGGCGCTCTGTATACATTATAATAACTTGTAAGCCAAGGGAGAAAGGTCGAGCCAGGTCTAGGTCCTTCAGAACCCTTAGCCCTTAGCTAGCTTTGTCGTGGCATAACGTGTAAAATCAAGTCATCATCAAAAACATTTCAACCTAGCTCAAATTCTGTATGATAACCATGTGACCATTATAACGTCCCGATCCGGGAAGACGGCTAAGATCCACTCTACACGTTGAATGGACCACGCGCCTGCTAATTAACTCTCTTGCGCTTTCGTCCTCGCTTCACGCAAAAGGTTCGAACCGGAGTTAACAGTTTCCCAGACCGAGACTTTTAAGTTGGTTGGGTATTCCTTCAGGTGGGACTAAATTCCACGAGCTACAGTGTTCCATGATGCTACAGTGCCTCACATCACCTTGTCGCTGCAGGACTCGATATTCGGCCCAGCCCACCAGACCGGCCCAACTTGGCCCATTAGCGGGGTCTTACGTACACCCACCTGAGGATTCGACGTTCGAGGGCCGAACCAACCTACCCAAACGGGACAAATGTCCAGGATCGACTCTCTTGGCCACGTCCATATTCCCAGCTCCCCGGCCCAAGTGCCAAACGCAACCTGTCCGAGCTCCCGAGCTATATGTC